GAACCCCCACCAAAACAATGCAACTCCAGGCTACAAACCTAGTTTATATTTCTTGATTCAGTACACATTACCTCTCTTTCTTCTGAAATTTTACACACAGTGAATGTGAAAAGTTCTTGAAGATCAAGTTCAGGTTTCTTGATTCAACCCATATATTTGAATTTGAGATTTTGTTTGAAAACCCAACTTCAGTTTTTGCTCCATGATGCACCTCGCAATTCTCTAAAAGACCCCCAACCCGCCATTGACAAAAAGCTTCAAGCTTTTAATTGAAGACAACACGATGTCAACGCCTAATTCGTTTGACCCGACCCAGCAGCAACAGCCGCCGCTCCTTCCGGTAACCGAGCGGCAAGACTTCACTTCTCATTCCCATCATGGGTCGGTCGGACCCGCGATTGGAGCTCTGGCGGTGATTATGGTGTTGGCAGCAATCGCAGTGGTGATCGGAAGGCTTTGTTCTGGTCGGAAAATTATGGGTCACCGGCAGTACGACTTTGAAGGATGGGTGGAGACGAAATGCTCCTCCTGTATCGACGGGAAGCTCGGCCCTCCTCCTCCTCCGCCGTGCGTGGCAGCGCCGGCTACAGTGGAGAGCATCAGGAGCAACCTGTCGTCCAGTGAAGCACCAGCTGCTGCTGCTGCCGCCGCACGTGGCAGCGCCACCCATGGTGAACCACACGAGGAAGAGATCCACCACAATTTGCGAGAGGCGTGAGAATTGAGACGAAAATTTAATTACTTGATTTTCAAATTTTAAAATCATTTTCACAAAATATTTATGAATTTTCAATAATTTAATTAGTCGCTGTGCGTGATCGTACCGTGTGCAGTAATGGTTGTACTTAGATTATTTATTGATGGTAGTACGAACTCGAGTATCGTATTTATTTCGAGACGAAATAACATCCCGACAAAACACGTTGTACGATTCTTCACGAGAATCTTTTATCGTTAATTCTCATCGATCAACGAGCCAATTTCGAAAGTGTTTTGGGATGCTCTTATGATATAATGCAAAATGAAATATAATTGTTTACAATAAAATTATGACGTTGAATGGTTAAAGGAGACCCAAAATACAAAATCATTTAGAGAGTTTTAGAACCATTAAAAGACAGACTTTTTTTTTTTGCCAAACAAGATTCACGATTCAGAGGTCGTCTCTTAATGGAACTATTAAGAGGTAAACAAACAACCCTTAGGTTTTGCCCGCCACCGCCTTCTCTTTGTCGGAAACCACCCTTCTCGTTTTGCCCAACTTCATTCAATCAATTGGTTTCTTCTATTTGGGGCTATTTATTTGCATCTTAATAGTTTCATTAAAAGAAAATATTTGAATCGTTAAAACCTAAGTTTTGTTTGGTAAAAAAACACCGCCTCTGGACGGTTCCTTCTACGTCCCAACGATTTTTCCATCTGGGTTATGTGGTAACATTCAGAGCCTTGGTTTTCCAAGATTCACCCTCTCTCCAGACGCTCTCTCAATCTGCCACTATTCGACTCTCACTACTTGGAGGTATATCTTGATTTCATTAATGGATTTCACAATTTCATTAATGTTGGTGACTCTAGTGTCACTGGTCATTTAAGTATGACTGGAATTAACACGGGTGTCAATGAGTTTTAAACTGTGGTCTAATACAAGTTAGGTGGTGTGGAGTGCACACTTGTAAATCTGATGTGTTTGATCCCGGAAACAACGAAGTGCAGGGGTAGTGCCCCTAGGTGGTCCGACTTGGCACTTTAGCGGGCGTGATCGAGGGCATCACCCCAAAACATCTAACAAAATTTTGGACTTGTAATATAGTGGAAAATCGTGATCAGACTAAGTGTTATTCAAATTAAGGACTATTTCTGGAAGAGTAATTAGACTTGAGATTGTTTACCAAATTTTATGATTAAGTGTTGATCGGGATAAGTGGTCTATCTGTGGTAAATGCTGACTGAAAATGTTGTTTACCAAATTTTATGGTTTTCCTCACATTTCCCTCCCCTTCCTTTCCTTCGTAAAATGAGTTTTGAGAACGCAGCGTAAGTCGAGAGATTGCTCTATCTCTGGTTGGTCATGGGACTATCTCTGGAATCTCTATCTCTAGATATGTATGTCTAGGGGTTCTTGATCTGCACGTTTAACTAATTTTGGATCTTATCCATTAACGGTTATAACCGTTTGTAACTGATTCTAACTTCCCAAAAGCAGTCATTTACCAAAACTGTTTTGGCACTCTCTTGAAATCTGAACATTCTAAGATTCTCTAATAAATTGACTTTGGTTTTTTGTGCCTAAATTCGAAAATGTCCTAAACGATTATCCTAGATTGAATTTCGTGATACGCAAGGCATAGGGTCGAAATATCAATTCAAAAAGTGAACTTACACGATCTTGAAACAATCCAGATTCCGATTACCATTTACCCTGTAATCCTAGTTTTTTCTAACAATTAACCGATTTCATCTATGGATTTCAATAGAGCAAATACACATACCTTTCTGGCTGAAACTCGTATACGTTAATAATGGTCACCAAGTAGATGCAAGGCAAATAATACGAAGAAGATGCAAGCCATTAAGGGATTAAAATTTAAAAAAATTGGCATTTGGTGTAACTGAGGTGGCAGTCAAATCAACAAGTAGCATTTAGTTTTACTGAGGTGGTAGTCAGGTCAACATAAGTGGATTTAGTGTAACTGAGGTGGCATTATGGACCTAAACCACAATTGCTCCTCTAGCAATAATTCATTAATTCACAGGTCGCTACACTGTCTGAAAGATCAATAAGACATTTCAAATAGATGCAAGTACGTGTGCAGTGACATTGTAACAACAATATATGAAGCTTGAAACGAGGTCGCTACAGTGTTTGAATGAGTTTGTATGTAGGACCCAAGGATTATTGTTTTTCGTCATTTTTAGAGCATATTGTTTTGTTTGCATGTGTTTAAAGAGTACAAGTATCAGCATTTATTTACTGCAACTCAAACATGTCACAGAATGAACCTAGAGAGATCACTAGATGTGTTGGATATGTCACATGCCATATGTTGGATTTTTCCCATAGGAATTGATCCCACATAGGAAAGAAAAGGGAAAAATGAATGGTTTATAAGGGTAAGATCATAAGCCTTATCAAAATCAACTAAAGCCTTTGGATTGGGCTTTAGCTTGGGGTCTCGTGACCGTCACGGCTGTGGCCGAACCGGAACAACCGACGCACTGTTTCCGAACAGTCGCGTCTGTTCGCGTTAGTGGTTTTTTAACCGCCAAATAACTACCGAGGCTATATATACATGCTATATCCCTTCATTCGAGAACACATTCATATTCCATACGTTTTTCCCTTTTCAATTGCATCTTCCCTCTCAAGAACACGCTTCGATTCGATAGGGTTGAATTGACGTGCATCAAATCAACCGGGTAGTTGTATCCTCTAGACGACGTCCGTACCGAGCACGATTGGGAACGAAATTTCGTCTTAGATTGTTATGACTAATCGACAACAAATCACGAAATAACGAAAACAACTACAAAATAATGATCAAAATACTTGAAATTTATAAAATGGATCACTCGACGATTCTGAAATCCCACGTTGAAAAGCCCGAGAAATTCAAGGGTTCAGATTTTCGACGATGGCAACAGAAAATGCTCTTCTGTCTCACTACGTTATGTGTGTCTAACGTGCTTTCGGAGCAAGCACTGACGACACCCGTTCCCGGTGAAGGCCAAACGACACCGACCCAAATCCAAATGTCAGCCTTTGAAAGGGTGGTCGAGACTTGGAATAGCAATGAATATAGTTGTCGAAACTATATTCTTAATGCTTTGGACGACTCCCTATATGATATATACTCTACCTTTAACTCGGCAAGAGAAATATGGGAGTCGTTGGAAACCAAGTACAAGACCGAAGTGGCATGTTCTAAAAGAGTTGTGGTCGGGAAGTTCTTGAACTTCAAGACGAGCGATGCAAAATCTGTTGTGAAACAAGTGGAAGAACTACAAGTCCTTGTTCATGAACTCGACACCGAAGGTATGGGCATCAATCCGAACTTTCTTGTTGGTTCGATAATTGAAAATTTGCCTCCTTCATGGAGAGATTTCAAACTCTATTTGAAACATCTAACCGAGGACATGTCTTTTGATCAATTGGTTCTCAAACTACGAGTTGAGAAGGACAATAGGAATAGTGAGAAGACGGACGGAAGTTCAATAGACCCAAACGCAAATTTCGTTGGAGGAAACACTTCCAAACCAAAATTTTAGAAGTTCAAGGGAAAAGGTATCGCTAAACCTTCTCCCTCAAACATGAAAAACCCTATCCAAGCCCACAAAAAGCCATTCAAAAGGCAAATGACTACTTGTTGGATGTGTGGTCGTCCCGGGCACAAAGCACGGGATTGCCGTCTCAAGAGGGATCATCATGGAAGCGGAGGAGCTGGAAGCTCAAACCAAACCAACATGGCAGATTCTGAAATAAGGTTTGTAGGTGTCGTTGAAGCGAACTTCGTGACAAACAAAGTGGATTGGTGGCTTGACACCGGTGCCACTAGGCACATATGCAACTCCAAGGATTTATTCTCTTCCTATGTCAAAGTCAACGATGGTGAACCGATGTTTATGGGGAACTCAACAACCGCAAAAGTGTAAGAAAAAGGGAAAGTGATATTGAAGCTAACATCGGGGAAAGAGCTTGAACTCACCAATGTGCTACATGTGCCGGATATGAGCAATAATTTGATCTCGGGTCCTATGTTGAGCAACAAAGGATTTAAAATTGTATTCGAGTCGAATAAATTTGTAGTCACTAAGGGTGGGGGTGTATGTGGGTAAGGGATACCTGTCTGAGGGGCTCTTTAAGTTGTCCATTGTAAATATCACAAACAATGATGTAAATATGAATAAAATCACTAGCGCTGCTTCTACTTATATGGTTGACTCCCCAAATTTGTGGCATGTTCGGTTAGGTCATGTCAATTTTCGATCCTTACAAAGGATGATGAATCTTGGCATGTTACCTAAGTGTTCAATGAACAAAATGACTAAGTGTGAGACTTGTGTAGAATCAAAATACTAAAGTCATCCCCACAAATCTGTCGAAAAATCTAACCAAGTGTTTGGTCTAATACATACCGATTTGTGTGATTTTAAGTCAACTCCAACTCGAGGGGGAAAGAACTACTATATCTCATTTATTGATGATGGCAGTAAGTTCTGTTATATTTATTTAATAAATACCAAAGACGAGGCTTTAAACATGTTTAAAATCTATAAAGCGGAAGTTGAAAATCAACTTGAAAAGAGGATCAAAATTCTAAGGTCTGACCGAGGAGGAGMGTATGAATCTCATGACTTTGATGAATTTTGTTCCTTACATGGTATTGTACATCAAACCACAGCTCCTTATACCCCTCAACAAAATGGGGTAGCCGAGCGGAAAAACATAACTTTGAAGAATATGATCAACTCAATGTTGATCACTTATGGGGCTCCTCATAATCTATGGGGTGAAGCCTGTTTGACTGCAAACATGATCTTAAATAAGATTCTGCATAAGAAAAATAGTCAATCTCCCTACGAACTATGGAAAGGCAAATTGCCTTCCTACAAAAGGATGAAAGTGTGGGGTTGCTTAGCCAAAGTACAAATACCTCTATCTAAAAGGACCAAATTAGGACCAAAGACTGTGGATTGCATCTATCTTGGCCCCGCCAAGAACAGTGCAGCTTACAGATTCTTGGTATATAGGTCTCAAGTAGAGGATATTCACACAAATACCATAATTGAATATGCGGAAGCAGAATTCTTTGAAGACATATTCCCATATAAGGATAAGGAGAAGAGAATCTCCAATCCAAGGAAAAGAGTGAATGAAGACGATAAACCTCACAATGAGTTAGACCAAAGTACTATTCAAAGAGATGAAGGTACCTCTCAAGTTCAACGTGATGGAGAACCTCACAGAAGTAAACGTGGAAAAGTGGCAAAAGACTTTGGACCAGACTATGTGACCTTTAATATAGAAGGATAACCTCTAAATTATAAGGCAGCTATGGATTCTTCTGAAGCTCCTTATTGGAAAGAGGCAATCCAAAGCAAAATAGAATCCATTTTACAAAATAACACTTGGAAATTGGTAGATCTCCCTCCGGGACATAAACCAATTGGCCATAAATGGATTTTTAAGAGAAAGCTTAGACCTGACGGTACTATAGAAAAGTACAAGACTCGTTTAGTAGCCAAAGGGTATCGTCAAAGAGAAGGTCAAGATTTCTTTGACACCTATCCGCCGGTGACTAGAATCACTTCCATTAGAACTTTGATTGTAATAGCAGCAATGCACAATTTGGAAATTCACCAAATGGATGTGAAAACTGCTTTCCTGAATGGCGAATTAGAGGAAGAAATCTACATGCAACAACCCGAAGGGTTTGTTGTTAAAGGTCAAGAACATAAAGTATGTAAACTGGTTAAGTCCCTATACAGACTTAAACAAGCTCCAAAGCATTGGCACGAGAAGTTTGATAATACACTATTATCACAAGGTTTATATATCAATGAATGTGATAAATGTGTATATGTTAAACAGTTTAAGAATGCTTATGTCATATTATGTTTATATGTGGATGATATGCTAATAATGGGGACTAATATGGATGTAATTAATCAAACCAAGAAAATGCTTCATTCTTCATTTGATATGAAGGATTTAGGACAAGTTGATGTTATTCTTGGTATCAAAGTTCGTAGAACTTCGGAAGGATACATCCTTAGCCAATCTCATTATATAGAGACGATCCTAAAGAAGTTTGGACACTTTGATGATAAACCGGTCGTTACTCCCTTTGATCCTTCAAGTCAACTTAAGAAAAATCAAGGAGATAGTGTTTCACAATTAGAGTACACTCAAGTTCTTGGGAGCCTAATGTATGAATTGTACACGACCGGATTTAGCATATATTGTGAGTAGATTGAGTCGTTACTCACATAATCCTGGTAAAGATCACTGGTATGCACTAGTTCAAGTGCTCCGATATCTTAAACATACAATATGTTATGGTTTGCATTACACTAAGTACCCCCCCTGTGCTAGAAGGATACTGTGATGCCAATTGGATTTCCAATCACTCGGAAGGTAAATCCACAAGTGGCTACATGTTTACCCTTGGTGGTGCTTCAATATCTTGGAAATCATCTAAACAAACGGTAAATATACGTTCCACGATGGAAGCTAAGTTTGTCGCGTTGGACAAAGCGGCTGAAGAAGCCGAATGGCTCAAAAGCTTTCTAGAAGGTATTCTGTTATGGCCTAAGCCTGTGACAGCCATTAGTATACACTGTGATAGTATGGCTGCTCTGACTAGAGCAAAGAATCATATCTATAATGGAAAATCAAGGCATATAAGGCGACATCACAATACAATAAAAGACTTGCTGAAAAATGGAATAATTTCCATTGATTACATAAAGTCGAAGGAAAATATAGCAGATCCTTTGACAAAAGGGCCTAAACAGAGAGCAAGTTATCTTTACATCGAGGGGAATGGGCTTAAAGCCAATAAAATGAGTCGATACTTGGCGGAAACCTAACCTAGCAACATTGGAGATCCCATGGTCTAGGTTCAATAGGCAAACTAGTTGAGGAAGACTCAAGAAGAATCAAACACAAGGTATGCTTATTCCTATGATGTCCTCAATTGTGTTCTCCGTTGATGTTTAAGGGTTGAATTCATATTCTTAATAGTGCTAATAGCTTATTTCAGTAGAGCACTACAGAATGTTCTTGATTGGCATTACCTATGTGAGATCGATGTGTGGTCGCATCTATGAGAACCGAGATGGCTATGTTCTCTACAAATCTCATGCGACCAAAATGAACAAAACTGTAAGAATCGATGTGTGTATAAGTATGATGTATGTTACACATTTTGTCTCGATTTACTATCAAATGTGGTTAGTTCAAGACTTCGTTCACTACCCATAAAGTAGATCCGAATTGTATTCACTACGGAAGGTTCAAGTCCAAAAGACACCTTTCCTGATGTACTTCATATTTAGTTCTTGGAATAGGAAATAAATTCCTATGTTATCTTACTTTCTATTCAAATGTGGGGTATTGTAGGAGTTTGAATAGAAAATGTGGGGTATTATTGGATTTTTCCCATAGGAATTGATCCCACATAGGAAAGAAAGGGGAAAAATGAATGGTTTATAAGGGTAAGATCATAAGCCTTATCAAAATCAACTAAAGCCTTTGGATTGGGCTTTAGCTTGGGGTCTCGTGACCG